TCGAAGCTCTTAGTTAAGATTATCTGGAAACGAACATTTTTGTGTTATAAAGAGTTTGCAAAACAGAACTTTTGTAATATGTCAACCATCTATTGCGAAAGGAACAGAGATGTAAAAAGATCACACTTCGGGTAATGCAAGTCTTTAACATAATAAACAAAGCAAAGCATCCAACATTGCTTATACAAAACAAGTGGTCTTATGACTAAGAGATTTTCTTCTTGTCCAAGTGATTTGATTCTCTAGTTCAAACAGAGATTGATTCTCTTCAGTCTTCACCTTCGGTTCTTGCTCTCCTCCTTTTCCCTCTCTCTCTTCTTATAAAGCTTCTCTAGGGCTCGTTTTGCCTCGCAGTTGGGGAAGTTGGAAAGATCATAGTAATGCGGAGCAACATCTACTAACCTGTTTACAAGCAAAGATCAGTTTTTACAGGTTTTGAATTGATGGGAAGTCAAAAGAGAAGAGATCACAGGAAGCAGGGAACTAACCATTCACCACGAATATCTGTAACAGTGCGAATGAAATTCCGAGTAGTCAAGACGTATTCATTGTAAATCACCCACTCCGGTTTGTGATCCAGACAATTGGATGGATGCAAGTGAACCACCTGCCACCAGAATTTACAGGCAACAAATCAGATATAAGCTATAAGGAGTCTCTCTATAATGCGGAAATCAAAATCTGTAACAGAATGCCAAAAAAAAGGAGTCATACTTGGTTATCTTTGACGGTCAAGTAATGGCCAGTGCGTTCTAGGTGAGCAACCTGCATGAAATAACCAGCAAGCATGGCCTTTCTTATGTTGACATAGTAGTCACGGCTGTTGAAATCTGTGCTGCACATCTTCAGATTAAACCTCGACATTATTCGCACTAGCTGCTGTCTAACATTGTCTGCAGACTTCATTGCTCTGTTGTTGACAAAGTTCTCGAAACACCAGTTTGGGTCTTCATCTGTGAGAATTTCAAGTGACCAGGTTTGAAGATGCCAATTTACTTATCTTAAGAAGCTATAAACGAAAAGCGGAAGATAGAGAAAAGATAACTCACTGTTTTGCTTGTAGGCGTGGTACACGTTTAGCAGTGTGAGGTGATCTCCATCAATGTGTCCAAACTTAGCTTTAGCTTCATCTGCTGCTTTTTGAGCCTCTCTAGGCCGGACAAAGCAATTCGGTACTAGAGAAATAATTTGTTTTATAACAGAATAGGCCCATGGAAGAGGTCAGCAGATGCAGAGAGACGATACCATTTGCTTGAGATAATACTGAGAAACTGCAACTAGATGTATCAGCACTTACTTAGTTATCCCCAACCATGGACAATGACAACCCAGACTAGTTATATGCTTATGACAACCTAACTCGAAGAATAATGTCTAATGG